AGAGCAGCAATCATCGGAAACGTACTTTGGAGACGCAAACAGACCCAAGGTGTGGAGGAGGCCTCCGAATACTGTAGCCTTGATTGGCAGCTCCTCATCTCTGTCTGTCTGAGTACAGTCTGATTTGCTGCAAGAAGAATACGTGATGTCTAAACTGATAGATTTTAAAATGTCGCTTGGTCTGTGGATTGGGCCAATCCATCCCACATTGTTGGGGCTGCAGATGCAGTTGAATGGTTCATAATTATAGTCTAAAGAAATTGCAGACAGCAATAGAGCCAACCCAGACCCTTTTTCTCCTTATAGCCCATGCCAAGCTGTCTCCCACAGGGAATAATAGCGTGGTTATCCTGAAATGTACTTGCCCTACAACAGCACATCCAGTGCACAGAATATTGTTGGACTTTGAACAATTTAGCCAATCATCGATCTGTGCCCTTGCAAAGCAATCTTGCTTTGTGTCTCAAGGATGTCAAGGACCAAGCTGAGTGAGCCTGACTTCTCTTGCCAGAGTGATCCTCTAAATACCAGGGGATGCTGTGGAGAGGGCAGCGATGTACTGTACTGACATGGCCTTGTGATTGTGGGGTACTCCGCAGGATCACACATTCTGCCCCAAGCTCTTCCCTCTGGTAAATCGGAGGACTGCTCTTGGATACCACGAAGGTGCTTCTGTCTAGCTCAGCTGCGTCTTCAGTGAAGACCTAAAATTTGGTATCCACAGAGGCACCACAATGTGATCTCCTCTGAGAGTTCCAAGCACAGCAGTTCTAGAACTAGCAAGATAAATACAAATATGTTTTCTTTCCCACCTAGGTAGTACTGGAAGTTTACAAGCAAAGCCAAAGTTGGACAGTTCCCAATTCAAGAATAGAGGGACAGGCTTACACTGATTTTTACATTAAAGATAATAGCTATTCTGATCTTTCTCTGGAGAGTTGTACCAAGCTACTCAGCAAATAGATGGCCAGAGAGAAAGAGCTAATGTAATTTCATACATTTTCTATGTTGCCCTTGATCTTAAAGACAGGAACAATGATTTGATATTAATTGAACACTTTTTTGACTTTTGCTAAGTGCTTTGTTTGTATCACCTCATTTAATCCTACAAATTGCCTTAAAAGGCAGGTGCTATTGGTTTTTCTATTTCACAAATGGAGGAACTGAGTTTTAGGATTAAGTGACTCACCCATGTTAATTCAGCAGATTAGTTGGTGCAGCTAGATTCAAAATCTGTGTTTTATCCCATAGCCTGCACCACTCAATAAGATCTCTGATTTATTAAAGTTTTCCAGGAAAATAGGCCACCAAATCTTCTCCTTCCTCCTCCCTTTCCCCCTTATAACTGCAGCTGTCTAATCACTCATTGTTTATTGTACCTTCACAACAATAGCTAATGAATCTGTACTACATGCTAGGGATAGACTGGGTGACTTTACTCCCTGAAGCAGAGATGAGGCTGTGACACAGAAAGGTTAAGTGACACTGGTGAGGTCACAGAATTAACCACCAGTAAGCCACTACCTTCAGATTCTGGGACACTGGTTCTTGAACTGACCCTAAGGCCCTTTGCAATTTAATTGTAATTAAGAATATTATTTTAGTTTTCCTTCCTATCTTAGATTTTCCTTTTCATTGCTGTTGGACAATCATAGATATTGAAGCTCCAGGCATTTTCCTTCTCCAATGTGCTTTTTAATGACTGAAAAACCACTTGCTTTAGAGTTAAGCTTTCTAAGCCTCTTTCTGAGTGTGACAGGGACTGTTGCATTTTTCTAAAACAAAAATGAGACCACAAATGAAGCTCAGACAGGTTGTTAATTGAGAGCTTGAAAGCTTTTTTTTTTTTTTTTTTAAATCTTACATTTAGACCAGTAAATCAACATCTGTGAGTCATAAACATGCTGTGGATCAACCGTTAGTGGTCTGGATGTTTTTGCGCTTACCTTAGGTAATGTGTACCTCAGATTTTAGCTCAAGACTCACAGTCTTTGTTCTGTTGAAGTTCATGATTCAGCAAAAGACAAAACTAGCACTCTACTGGAGTGGGAGCCTGTGTCTTCCATGACTACTTGGAATAAGGCGTGTTCTTCATTTTTTTTTTTTTAATTGAGGTTGGTGTGAAATTGAGGGAAGAGTGTAAATAAAGGCCAAAGTGTATGGTTTTTCATACTGCATGGATGTAAGGAATTGTGTGGAAGGAATTCCTGTACAAAGGGGACTGTTTTGCTGATACCATCTGTGCCTACTGTTACACTCTTGTCCCCCAATTCCTGCAGACTTTCCATACCTTTTCTAATTTGACAGTACTAATTTAAGGAGTGTCAGCTCTTGGTTGTATGGAATTAGTTAAAGTCCAAGGAATATTTAAAGTGCAAAGCCATTTCCTCTCCAGTGCAGGAGAAGCAGATTCTTGTGTTATAAGAAAAGTGAAGATGTACTTGTTCTCTCCCCCCCTCCCCCCGAGTTCTTAAGGATCATCATCACACGCACTACTGAAAAAATATCATGCTTAAATATAGGAAGGGCAAGGAGTGGCTGCCTCTGCTTTTTTGGTAGGGGACTAAGGCACACGTGAACCTGAGTGGGTTTTAGTGCTGGGGATACAGTCTACTTTACCATGAAGGAAAAAGCATCTTTACAAGCCACAACATGTCAAACTCAGCCTACAAATTAGGAAGAATCATTGGCAAACTAAAAGCCCACAGTAGCCAGAAAGCCGATAGTTCCTCATGCAACACATACTGATCAAATATCTGCTATACCTTAGACTCTGGGCTAGGTTTTTCTTAAGGGTATAAAGATAGAAATGTCATTTAAAGTCCATAACAACAGCAGAAAAATCTACTTGCCCTAGAGAATAAGAGTCATTTATCAAAACTGATAAATCAAGGATGACATAGGCCTTGATTGACTTAGACATGTTCTAAATATGTAACAATATTTTAGCATGACCTTATTAGTGTTCCTCATCCTAGGGAAAGTTTCAACCAGATTCAAAGTCAAATACATAACTTCTGACAACGTTCAGAAGTAACCTTCTGAGAGGTCGGTGGTGACTCCTACTCTACTAACCCATTCCCTGATTTGGACATTGAGACATTTTGGGATTCTGTGCTTCAGGACTGGATTAGAAACACGGCCCATTGGCTAGTTGATTCGTCACTGTTGAAGAATTAGAAGAAGCAAATTCCTTCATTGCTAGAATGGAGCATGTTTACTTTTGAATCACGGTGGGCTTTTTAGTGCTTTGAGTGTTTAGGCTAGCTTGGGAGAAACGTAGGGGAGCAGGCTGGGGAAGCAAAGAGCTACCCTGAGGAAAGTGCATTTGCAAATGGAGAAATTGCTCACACTTAGAACAATACTCATTTTTTTTTTTTAAGGCAACAGCAACAAAATTCTCAAAAGCAATTCTTGATTTGTTTAGTCATACTGATGTCATCATAGTAAGGCGGGACTTGGTTCAAGATCCCTTTCTTTGCTGCCTGTTTGGGTGCGTGAATGTACAATCCATTCATTAGCTGTTTCCCTGAGCTTTTCCCAGGCTCAAAAGTATCTGTTCTTGTCATCTGGAGGCCAGCATTGTTTTCTCATACCTTCTGGAAACACAGCTGGATTGCAGCAGTCTTTGTTCTTTCAAAAATTGGATGATCACATACAAATATTTTCCTCTGGTCAGTGAAGAAAGGGTATAATCTGGAACTTGGATCAAGAGTTAAGAGATTTATTTTGTAGTCCTGGCTCCTTCTCTGATTTGCTACAGGAAATCTTCAAGTTACTAATGTTCTAAGCAACAACAAAAAACCAAAAAAACAAAAACAAAAATCAAAACCCAAAATAGCTTAGATGAAGGTGAGCATGTTTGTTAAAATTTACCAGAATCCGAAGTTACAGTTATAACAAGTTGTGGGAGTTCCACATATGCTTAGAAATTAGGAAATTGCATTAAAAGGAGCTTTATCTGAGATTGCTCCGAAAGATTTATGTTAACTCTTTTAGTTAGCCAAAGGTAGATTTCAACACCTGGCTAGAGTTGTGTATGCAATTCTATGATTTGGTGGTTAGCATCAACTGTATTTATAAGCACCAATGCAGGAGCAGCAGATCAGGAATTAGTGGAGTTCATACTGTTTCCAAACATAACAGGAGGTGTGCACACTCTGATTCCGTCACGGTCTGCCAATGACACACTACAGAAATTCAAACCAGAGCAACATCACCATTCTTTTTGGTAGCAGGGGTGGCAAGAGAGAGTCAGTTTTATTTAATAGTCTAGGAAAGACAAAGCTTTAACCAACGGTGACAGAGAAAAAATAATTAAGAAGACCCGAGTTCCTCCTCCCCTCCGGCCCGCGCTGCGGCCTCCTTCGCCAACGCAGAGCACGCGGGCCTGTTTCTGGGGTCTCGGGTGGCGCAGGCTGCCTTAGGCTTAGTCCTGAGCACGGAGAAGCCGGATTTCTCCCCGGGGCGCTGCTGCTTTCCTTCCGTAGCTCTGCCAAGGGCGGCTGTGAAGCCGCGGGCACCCTCGGGAAGTACTGTCGCCGCAGCCCCGCATCCAGGGAGCCGCGAGGGACCCCGGGTCGCGGACCCCCTCTCGCGCCGCCCCCGGGTCCAGGGCTCGCGTCCTGTGCGTCAGTCTTTGTGAATGACTGATGTACGAGCGCTGGGAACACTATGCCGCTACCGGGAGGGGGAGCGGCGGGTGACCAAGGCCTCTGGAATGCGTGGAGAATCGGGCGGACTTCCCCGAATCCGCGGAGGCAGCCCCCGCGCGCGGCCCGCGCTCCGGAACTCCAGCGCCAGCACTCTCCGCGGAGCGCCGGCGGGCGCCCGCACGGCTCCTCCCCCGCCCTCCCTTTCGCTTCCGGCCGCTGGCGGCGATTGGCGGCTGGGGTCCGGCCCCGCCCCTCCGCCCCCGCTCCCCCCTCCCCCCACGGAGCGCGCCGGCGGGAGGCAGGCCACGCCCCGGGGGCGGGGCGAGCGCAGCGCGGAGCGAGCGAGCGGCGCGGCGGAGAAGAGGGCGCGGGCGCGGCGCGGCCAAGCTGCACCCGAGCGCGCTCATTGCTCCGCAAGTGCCAACTTCCCGGGACACAGTGCCCGGCGCGCATCTTCCGGGCGCAGGGCACGCTCAACGGGAATTTGAGGTTTGTTTGTCTGTTTTAGGAAGGAGAGTCGGATTTTCGCCTCGTTCCCTTTCCCTTGTTAGCAGTCCCCATTAAAGCGGAAAAAAAAAAAAAATAACCAAAGCCAAGTGAAGGCAAACTTGCTCTCATCCAGTCGGCCCCCCACTCCCGGCACCATGAAGGCGGCCGTCGATCTCAAACCGACTCTCACCATCATCAAGACGGAAAAAGTCGATCTGGAGATTTTCCCCTCCCCGGGTGAGTGGCGACGGCGAGGTCCCGCCCCGCCCGCCGGCCCCGCGCTCGTCCCTCTAGCTGTCCCTCTAGCTGTCCCCTCGGGCCGGGGTCCTGCGGGAGCGGGGATGCTGCGGCCGCGTGGGGCGGAGGCGGGAGGACGGTGGAGGCCGGGACTCCTGGGTGAGGGGTGTTGCTTATTTTCACCACTGCGTTTTTGTAAGTTGTGAGGAAAAGCTTATAGAATGAATTTTCAACGTCCCTGCTTTTTTTTTTTTTTAATGTTCCCGATGGAGCGAGGACCCCCTGACGTTATTTCTTAATGTAACCCAGGGTTATGATCCTTGGCCTCTGTCCCCCAGCACTGGACCTGGTGGGACGCCCTGGGCGAGAGAACCGGGAGGGTGCCTAACAGGCTGTCCTTCAAGCGCATTTTCAGATGTCTTGCCTTTCAGAGCGTCCGTGACATGTCCCTGTGCTTCTCGCTCTTTTTAGCCTGAGACCAAGGAGGTGGGAGGAGGGCTGGAATTATCTCTCAACTTTGGTAAAGTCCGCTTCGGCTCGTGCACTTCACTAACTTTCCTTATGTTTCGGTCCCTCTGTAAACTCGTCCGGTAGTACTGGAAGAGCATCCCAGCGTAGGCTGAGACTTTGTGTTTTTGGAGTAAGGTGTCGACTGACTTGATATGTAAGGCTTTGAAGACAGGACAGATAGGACAGAAATTGTCGCATTTCGTCATAAGACACAAATTTTGGTGCTAAGTAGATGAAGCCCGGCTCCACGGGATTCCTGAAACTATGCCCTTTGAGAGGAAATAGGGGACTGCCAGCTAGCCAGGGGGCTTAGTGATTATGGAGGCGAAAATGGGAGAAGGTGCTGCATTGTGGAAAATAATGAATTGTGCTAGCACACACCTCTTTGTATCTGATTATCAGTAAGTGCAGTTGCTGGCTTTTCTTTGCCTCTGCTGTAATTAATTGCTTGTCTTAACCCTTTCTTAACCTGTTCAAACTTCTTAACACAAAGAAGCTGATGTTTTCTCATCCTGGGACCCTAGGCATTAAGTCAAGCCTCCTCCTGCAGGGCTCCCGACACTGTAACCCGGGACTGTTGTGCACAAAAAGCTGGGCTTGTTTCTTGTTAGTAGGACGATGGTCGGAGCGGTGCTGTCATCTGCTAACAGCGCAGGGACCTTGTGGGTACTTAGAGCTACCGTTGAGAAATGAAGTTGCTGTCATGGTTGTGTTCGGGGGTTCAAGAAAGCGTGAATGAATTGTCATAATTGATTCAGTGGATTTGAAAGGATAGCACACAGCAAAGATACAGACTCAACCCCTAGGTCCTTTCCTTTAGAATGGCCTGTGTATATATGTGCTATGTGTGTTTATGAGCAAGAGGCAGATTTTTGTCATCTGGGAAATATCATGTTGACATGTCAGTTCACATACCTACAATGGATTGTTCATGCTGAGAATGTAGCAGAGCCCCTGGCAACACATGTTTTAGATCACTGTACACAGCTAAAGCATGCTTCTTTGTAATTTAATATTAAATATTAGAGATTTAAAGTATATGGTGCTATATTTCAGTTATTTGTTAAAATAAACCCTGAACTTCTAACTTCATTTAGCTTGCCCATGTGTGAGATGGGTCCAGGGGGGCTTCCTGCTCTGGTCAGTACCGCATATCATAGTTGGCTTTATAGTGGCTTTCTTTTTTCTTTCTTTTTTTTTTTTTTTTTTGCGGAACCTGGGATTGAACTCAGACCCTTGAGCTTGCCAGGCAAACACTTATTCTACTGACCCATCTCCCCGGCCCCTATAGTGGCTTTCTTGTTCAGAAAAGGTTTCTAAGGCCCTGGTCAGTTTTAGTTAGTGGCTGCCAGTAGAATTTCAAGTGGCCCAAGAAATCAGGCAGTCACCTGCCATTCATTGTAATGAGGTTTGATTTCTAACACTTGTTTGAGAGGAAAAAAAGCAGAAGGTGGAAGGATATATAGACTATATTGACTAATTTTTCACTTATTTTCTCCCCCCTGGACTTAAGTTACTTATGATATGTAAATATTATACCCATAGCTCAGAGAGGCAAATAAGAGGCCAGAACAAGTAAGTAAGTAAAAATATCCGGAGAACCAGTGGCTGAAGTAAAATGAACTGTTTCTCACTTCTCAGTGTACATTGCTGTGATACTGCAGTCCACCTTTAGAAAGCTCAGTGGAGGAACTCTGAAGCGAGACCTAAGCTTGCAGGTGCGAAGCCTCACTAAACCCTGGTCAGGGATGCCAGCTTTTGCTGGTGGAAGGACAAGCCAGCTCGTGGAGGGTTGCCATACTCACCGGTGCATAGACGACGTGTGTTTAAAGTTCAACTGCTTGCAGCGTGGCTTCGCATCCACAGCTGTGACCTCAGTGTCTGTCAGAAAGATTTCTTGGGGTTGCTTAATTTCGTATGTGTGGAGACAGCTAGTGTGGGATCTTATGTGGCTCGAGCGATTAAGTCAGAATTTCCTTTCTGCCCCTTTCCAAATGTATGAGCCAAAGGGAAGAAGCAGTAGGGAGGTCAGTGTTGAAACAGGAGCCAGAATACACTTGCCTGCTTCTGTGGTTAGGACTGACCAAGAACCTTTATTCACTTTTGTTCTAGATTGAGACCTCACAGGATGTTGACAGCATTAAGTACATTAAGTACCAAATTAACATGCACTTTGAAATAGCACTAGGACTGAATATCCTTTGTATATGGAAAGTAGGATACAGTGTTTGAGTGCTCTGGTCACAGATCTTTTATTTTTTAAAAATTATGCATGTATGTATATGCATACATTTGGTCCAGGGTCTCACTATGCAGCTCAGACTTGTAGTGATCCTCCTGGCTCAGCCTCCCCAGTGCTGGGATTACAGGTGTGCACCACCACACTTGGTTTCAGTGACCAGCGTGGTGGCACGGCCTGTGGTATCTGGGATCAAATCCGGGTCCTTGTGCTTGTGAGGCAGGCGCTTAGACCACTGAGCTGTCTCTCCAACCCTCACAGATCTTAAATAAGCTAAATCCAACCATTGAGTTATTCCTGGCTCTCCTTGGTATGGAGTCTGCTGAAGGGACTGAGGCCACCAAGGCCGAGTGCCAAAGCAAACACATTCCCGAGCTGCTTCATTTTCCCTCTCCTTCGCCATTCCACCCTTGTTTTCCTGGTGAGATGAACCTAGTGTCCAGATAATAGCAGGGGTTCTAATTCTGGATGTTTCCCCATTTATAGGCATACAAGGGCCAGCCCTGACCCTGTGCTGCTGCAGTGGAGAGTGTCCACCCAGTAGGGCTCTTTAATGTCCTCAGACATAAGAAGAAACTGGCCTTGTCCACTTTGGACAGTCAGTATTTTCATCAGTGTAGACAAGAGAGATGAACAGAGCTGCCAGGCTTTTAGGATCCCTCGCTCTCTTTGCTCCTAGATCCCCACTGACCACATTCCATTAGTGCCCGAAGATCCCCATGGTTCAGAGCATGGATTCTGGAGCCAGCCTGTCTGGGTGTGAATCCCAGCTCGGACCTTAATAGCTGTGCGACTTTGAACAAATTACTTAATCTCTCTGTGGCTTAGCTCCAGCACGTGCAAAGTGAATGTGATTATTGTTCTACGTCATGGGGATGGTATGAGGTTGAAAACTATGAATGTGTACAAAATATGGACAAAGCGCCTGATCTGTAGTACATTCTGACAGTTAGCTAGAAAGCAAGTTAACAAAACATATAACCTTTACCTGTGTACAGTTTCCCGAGTTGTTTGAAACATTTCATAGGGGATGCAATGTGGTGGTTGCAGGGATACAGCTTCCCTAAATCCGTTACTTATGAAAGAAAGAATAGAAAGTCACCGGGGACTTTTTCACCTGCTTGGCTCTGAGTTTCTGGCCCTGGGTCCAAGAAGCGACGTGGCAAGGAGATAACTTGTAGAGTGTCTCGGGACCCTGCGATCATTGCTAGAGGCTGGAGGTGGGTCAGTTCCTTTGGGTATACAGATTGTCAGTGTTACCCAGAGCAGGGAGTCCGTGAGTTCCAAGGAGCGGGGCCTATGTGAAGGATTGGTGGACAAGTAGAGTTTCCGTTATGCAGGGTTGAGAAATGCACGATGTCCAGTTATTATGAAGTATCTCACATTGTATTTATTTATCTGGTTGGTAGAGCTTGCATTCCTGGCATTTTTTGTTGGTTTGTGTTGCCTTTTTTTTTTTCCTGGTCTGTGTATCTTTTTTTTTTTTTTTTCCTTAAAGAAGCCAGACCACCCTGTAGGAACATCACCTCCTCTAGCAAACAAAGCAGCCCACGGTCACCTTCTCAAAGCCCAGTTGTCTCTGAGCTCCATCAGAATCTGGGAAAATCTCAGAGCTGGTCAGGAATTTTCCGGAGTGAGAGTCTATCTGTTTCAAAGACTATGGAGAATAAGTCTCCATTGCCTGCAGCAGCTGTTTAGTTGCAGATGTTTCTCGAGTTTGCAGAGTGAATAACCTGTGGCTAGGATGGCATCCGATGAGCTTGGGTTGAAGGTGGATTTCCATCTTTCAAATCTATTGGAATATTTTGAAACATCAAACTTGTGTTGTATAGCAGGCTTGTTTCCATAAAAGAACACATGATTTATTCCTCACACATACTCTGGGATGGGAGCCTATTGTGTATTTTCTCTATTTATAGGATAAAGAATAATGACATGCATAGAGGTGCATACTTGGCCTAAGGTCACACTTCAGAAAATTACAAACTGATGAGTTATTGCAGGCATTTGGTACCTACAGTAAAAGCACCACGTGACTCTTAGGAACTCTGAAAATTAAAACATGAGGTTTATAAGAATGCAGTGCTGGGTGGTGCTTGGGGAGGACCAAGGAGTGCCAGGGCTTCCTGCCATCCTTGCAAGCCTCCTCTGCGCGGAACCAGTGCCTTGTCACTTGAACGTTCCAGACAGCTTAGGGCTGGCTCTCCAGGCCTGACCTGCATTAGGAAGGGGTTTAAGTGTTTCAACAACT